AAGGAACCTAGATGTAGGAAAAGGAAATTGTGGTTTGAGAACTTATTTTCATACACAATGTATGAATGTATGGGAAAGGTTTGCTTGAATTGCTGGACAAAGCCCCTTATAAAATGGCTGATTAATGTAACTAAATTGCTAAATGAGGCGACAACAACCCCTTATAGCAGTGTTTCTCAACCTTGGAAGCTTGAAGATGGGTGGACTTCAACTCCCAGAATCCCCCAGCCATTACTGCTGGCTGGGGGATTCTGGGAGTTGAAGTCCACCCATCTTCAAGCTACCAAGGTTGAGAAACACTGCCTTATAGGATAGTAACACAAAGCGTGACTCAGTGCTTCTTGTCCATTATAAAAATTGTGGGCAGAAAGGTGAGAGGCACACAAATTTTGGGAGAGATCTCCTTGAATCCTTTTTTCTGTGCAGAATAAAAGTTTTTCTAGTCTCCACCCTGGTGTGTTCTTCATTGGGCTTTCATATACTGGGCACTAATCCAGAATTTCTGGGACAACCTCTGCATCAGTGTATTTATTAATGACATCTATATGGCCACCCAACTCAAAGCAATGAGACTCTGGGCAGTGTAGAATTTCTTTAAAATGCCAGCTAAGCCATAATAGGTGGGGTTCATCTATTCCAGAGGTCTTCAAACTTGGCAACTTTAAGACTTTAAGCTATGCTGGCTGGAGAATTCTGGGAGTTGAAGTCCACAAGTCTTAAAGCTGCCAGGTTTGAAGACCTCTGATCTATTCTATCAAATCAATATTGTGGCTTCATGCAAAGACTGAAACCAGTCACACGTAACCCACTGCCCAGTAGCTGCTGCTGCTATTATTATTATTATTATTATTATTATTATTATTATTATTATTATTACTACTACTAGTACTACTACTACTACTATTACTATTACTATTATATTTATTTAATTGATGAAATAATAATTATTTTTATTTATTAAATTGGTTTGTCACCCAGGTGACTTTGTGCAGCTTACAAATTATGTGAAAGATACCTGTCTATTGATGTGGGTTATGTTGTGACTGATTTCAATTTTTGCATGAAGCCACAATATTGGCTTGATTTTGGCTTGGTAGCTTGGCTTTAATTCCGAACGAGATCTTGATGACTTTTTCAACAACTCATAGCTTAAAAAAATATTGACTTAATTTGATACATAAATCTAGATGATGTGTCCAAGTGTGATCATCGTTAAGGGCATGTTGGCATCATTTACTGTAAGTTTTTGCGTACTGTACATTCACTGAATAAAACCTAGAATGCTTTGAAGCAGATCTAATTCCGTAGTGCCCTTACATATCTATTGAATCCCTTCTACCATCCTAATAAGTTTCTCTCTAAAGCAAGGTGGGGAAAAAAGGAATGGGACACAGAGAAAACCTGCCATTGCTAATATGCCAGAGATGATAGTGGTAGGGAAGCAGTTGCCAGCAGCCTAGCTTTAATGGTAATGATAAGGTTTGCTTTTGTTCTTTTGGGTCTTATTTAATCAGCTCGACTCGTTTCTGATTTTTCCTATCTGTGTGTTTCATCCTATGGCTTTTATGCCCAGGCTCCCAGCTGCAGGAAACCTTGTTAAAATTGCCTTCTTCAAACACAAGCGCCCGCTTGCATTCCCTAGGGTGTGTAATATGTATGGATGGGGTAGAAATCCAGGGGAAATGAGAAGGGGGTTATCAAAGGATTTCTGTTCCTGTGTATTTTATAATTCATTGCATAGCTAAGCTAAAGAATACATTTTCACTAACAAGGTCTTGAGCAGAATCTATATAGAAAGGGTATTCAAGATGACATGAAGAGGTTGGATCTGAGCCCCTCGTATGTTCCTCGGCGTGTTTGAACATGCTTCTTGCTACTTAGCTTTAAATCCCGACAGCCTTCATCAGGATTCTCTTAAAATCAAATGTCATCTAATTTTGAATCACATCTTAATCATCAGCACAACCACAGTACATGGCATAAAATCACTGGTATATGTGTAAATATGGATGTGTATTCAGTGTACTTCAAAATACATTCTTTTTGGTGAAGTAGCTCATACAGTTTGATATTTTATTCAACCCCTGGAATTGAGAATGCAGCAATTTTAACACCATAGTCAGTTTTCCCTTTGCGTTGTCATGTTTAATAAAACTTGACTATCTCCCCTTTTTTATGGGTCGGAGCTGTCAGTGCCATTTAGAATTTATGCAAATCTCAATTAAAAGCTAAAAATAAGACTAAAACGTTTAGAGCAGATGGGAGATTAAAGGATTCAGTAAATAAAAATGTATTTGCTTAATGCCAAAAAGACAGAAGCTTTCCGGGTTCCTGGATAAGATCTTAATGTCTGATGTTGGATGAAACTGTTGGTTAGAAGGAGTCCTACCATTTGTTAAAGAGGGGAACTTCCCTCAGGCAGCAGATTCGGGGAAGTAGTAACGATGAATCATAGGATGCCACTTCCAAGAAGCAAGAGTTGGTTTTGTCTAGTGGTTAAGGCACCAGACTAGAAACCTTGAGGTAGTGAGTTCTAGTCATACCTTCGGCAGAAAAGCCAGCTGGGCAACTTTATGGCAGTCAATCTCCCTCAGCCCAGCTCACCTTGCAGTGTTGTTGTTTGGGAGAGGAAGAGGAAGGAATATTAGATGTCTTTTGCCTTGAGTTATCAATAAAGGCAGGGGGAGTTGCATATACATACAATGCATACACACACTGTCCCATCAGCAGCACTGATGAAAGATGTGGTTGCCACATGGACAAAGAGAGTATAATACTGCCTTTTATCTCAGATTTATATGCAGATCTAGTCTATTATAATAATAATATATAATGTAGTGTAGCGTAATGTATTGTAACATCATATACCTCTTCTTTTGCCTTGAGATATGTAATCCTTCCTTCAGAATCAGCAATGATATGCAAAGTACAGAAAAGGGTTAAGAATAGTAAACCAAAGAAATTAAATGTATGAAATAAGAAAAAAATCAAAGGAAATAGAACTATACCTATTTTACAGCAATGGTATTCATTATAATTTACCATACTATTCCTAAGTATTCTTGCCAATCATGCTTGCTTTCCCCCTGTCCATACATCACTTTGTTCTTTCAACTTCTCATTTTTCTTTTTCAGAATCTCATCAACAATTTTCAGTCTTGAATTTTTCAATTGTCCTTCCTCAATCAATCACTTTTCTTTCATATACCTGTTTGATGATTTGATCTTCATTCATTCAACCATTGTGTACAACCAAACCACTTCAGTGTATTTCTTTCATACCAGTCACTTATATATTCAATCAGTATTCACATAGTACTAATTCATTTTGTAGTTCAATTCCACACAATTCTATGACACCCTGTAACCTGATTATGTTCATTCTTTTCCAAGCAGCTTCCACCTCTTTTTTTTTTTTTTTTTTTTGTATCCACTTTCCATTCATTTTGTTGGGAGATTTATCTTCTGACTTTTTTCAAACCAGGAAAAAATTTTCTTCCTGAAATTGCTCTACATTCACTTTTGTTTATTTCACTTCTTTCTCTTTCTTCCCTGTCTTTTTTCCCCCAAAATCCTTTTTCCCCCCCTTCAGTTTTGAATTTCAGAGCAGCTATTGTGTAATATCGGCAGGTCTTTTTGCAACACAGAATGAGCTATAAGCACTAAAATAGTGTATTTACAGAATATATATTTCACAATGTAAACCGGTGTAGTATGAAATGATTTCCTGGTATCTCTCATTATGAGAGACTTAAATGCCCAGAATCAATGAGTTTCCCCTACACTCACCATCTGATCCTTTTGTAGAAAGGGGAGGTGATACATTTTGACTGGCAGATGACAGAAAGAGACATCCAATTAAATAAAGCTGTGAAGAAGGGAGATTCCCTCAGAAAGTACCCTGCAATGCAGTTGTTGTGAAGAAGTGTCAGTTCATGAATTAGTTGCAAGAATGCATAAAAAAAAGAAGCGCCAAAAGAAAATAAATCTTCGCATTAGCATTTTTTCTGCTTATTTGATAGTGTAGGTGTTGAAGAACTCATTAGATGTGTTTGGGATTGTGATTTTCCAGAAGTTAACTTTTGTGCGAGATTTACTACAGCAGCAAAAGCAATATTTTTTTTCAGTGCTCTTCTGTATAGCAGTAGACTTATACTTATATACTGCTTCATAGTGCTTTTACAGCCCTCTCTAAGCGGTTTACAGAATCAGCATATTGCCCTCAACAATCTGGGTCCTCATTTTACTCACCTCAGAAAGATGGAAGGCTGAGTCAACCTTGAGTTGGTGAGATTCGATCTGCTGAACTGCAGCTAGCAGTCAGCTGAAGTAGCCTGCAGTACTGCACTCTAACCACTGCGCCACCTCGGCTTTTGTATGATATGCTCCCTCAAATTAAAAAAAATTATTGGCACAGTAGAGGGAGAAACCATCCTTCTTCGTTTGAAGAGATTTGACTTACTTTTACCATGCCAAGGCTCTGCCCCAGTTTGTAATGCTGTAAGAGTGCATTTCACTATAAAGCAATGATATCCACAGAGGGATGCCGAAAAAATCAATACCATGCAGCGGAAAGCTAAACTCTTGTGAACACCCTTGTGAAAATGGGACCAAAATTGCTACCTTGGAATAACTTTCTCTAGTGTGGTATTTTCCAAATGACTATACTGACTATGGATGAGAGGTGTTGCAGTTCAGCCCAATTACAAGCTGCCAAGTGAACAAAAAGCATGCATTGATCTATTTATATTCAATAAATAAATTGTATAGGGCCATCTAGTTGATTGGCAATTCAAAGCAGTTTCTGGCAGTCTAACCCAGTCTTTCTCAACCTTGACCTCTTGAAGATGTGTGGACTTCAACTCTCAAAATTCTGGCGGTTGAAGTCCACACATCTTCAAGGGGTCAAGGTTGAGAAACACTAATTTAACCTTTTTGCTGTTGCAAACAGGCTACAGTCTATTCTGTTCTTAACATCATGGATTCCATCTCATCTCTAGATTCTTCACCTGAAGCCCAGCCCAAATACATCAAGGATGGAAAGCGCTATGGGAGGCGATCCTTGCCAGAGTTTCAGCAATCCGTGGAAGAATTTGCAGAGGTGACAGTGATTGAACCTTTGAACAAGGATGCCCTCTCCTCCCGCCTCTCCAATAATGACTGTGATGAGGTAAGGATTTAAAAGCAAGCCAAGTGGATGAGGAGAAGGGAGTCTGGATCTGAGATTGAAAATCCCTCTGTGTGCATGTGTGGAAAGCATTTTAATGTTTCTTTCAAGAATTATGGCATTTTAAAATATGTGGACTTCAGCTCCCAGAATTCACTAGCCAGCATGCATAAATTCAAAGTTGCTGAAGTTGAGAAACACTGCTGTGGACAATGGGACAAAGGTTTTGCTTCCTAAAGTCCATCTCTTCATATTGCAGCTTATTATAGTTTCTGGCTTTATAAGCACTATGAAGAAGCACATTGAAAAAAAAAACTTTTTTAAAAGGAATTAAAAATGAAGCAGAAAATGCAAAATGTAGAGAAACTTAAGTTGAACTAAAACAACATAATTATGTTGCATCTTAAAATTAACAGGTTACAGTGGCTTCAGTCTGCATGGATCCTGATCCATTTCATAAGAGAGGCACAGTTATACTCTTGAGAAAAGAATATTATATTAGGACTGTGCAAATGTGGGAGGGTTGCTTTGATTCATAGTCATAGACTTGCAGGTGACCTAAGAGATCCTCAAGTACAACTTCCTGCATACTGCAGGACTCATTACATTATTGCTGATAAATGGCTATCTACCCTGTTTAAAACCCCTAGTGAAGGAAAGAAACCATTTCCTACAATAACCTATTCTACTGATTGACTGTTCTTAGTGTCAAGACATTCATCCTTGAATCTAATCTGCATCTACATCCTAGAAATTTCATCCCATTAGTTCTACTCTTGCCCTCTGGAGCAAATAAGAATATTCAAAATAATATAATATTCCCTTGGATATTTGAAGACTGGTGGCATATTCCTTTCAATGTTCTCATCTCAAAATAAACATATCTAGATCTTTTAACATACCTACATTCCTCCTAGGACTTAGTTTCCAGTCCTTTCATCATTGTGGTAGCTTTCAATGGACTTGCTCAAGTTTATCTGCTTTTTTTAAAAAAAAAGAATGTGCAGAATTGAATGCACTGCTCCAAGTAAGGCTTGTTTAAGCAGAATTGGATGGGATAATTACTTCCTATGACTGGATACTATGCTTCTCTTGATGTTCTTCAACATGTCATTGATCTTCTTTGCAATTGCATTATATTATTATTATTATTATTTATTATTTATTATTTATATTTCTATACCGCCTTTCTCCCGTAGGACTCAAGGCAGTGTACAGTCAAGAAAAATATAGATACACAAATATCATAAAATTGCTAATTAAAATTATTATTATAACATAGTTTGGCCCAATTAAATAGAACCTAATTGTTGGGACATGTTGAGCTTGTAACCTGTTAGTACATCCACATCCTTCTCATGTGTGCTACTCTTGAGCCACCTTTTCCCCATCCTGTACAAGTTTCTTTCATTTTTCTAAGCTTGCCTAAATGCATAAATTTTCATATCTCCCTGCTAAATTTCATTTGATTTGTTTCTACTCATTGTTCTAGCTTAAGACTTGAATTTTTTCCCTCTCCTCCCTAAACTCCTTCTGTGGAGTTTTGAGCAAAGAACCTTACAAACACACATGTTCACACACTTTTCAATGAACCAAATTTAAAGTTAAGCAAGCTGTCACTAGATCTTAACCTGGTTAAGCAATTAAGTTAAGAACCAACTACTGCTTCACTTACCACATTTCTGGCCCCAGGTGGCTCCCCAAACCTCTGTTGCCCCCCAATGCATGACTTTCTTAATGAAGAGATTCCTGCAGGAAGAAACCAGAAGCATTTGCTTCATCTCTGGTCTTCAAGAAGCCTATTTCATTTCTCCTCAATGTTGTTACAAAATTGTTTGTTTATCAGTAGGCTCTTTGAAAATTAACAAGCCAACTATTCTCTGAGATTTTTTTTTTCTTCCCAATCCACAGTATGTTCATCGTATTGCTTCCATCCTAAATTTGATGAGTCAACTCCATCCCATCCCATCACTCTGTGTCCTGGATCTCTGCATTTGGTTAACATCTGTTGGCAGAATTTGTTCAGCTTTTTTGTGGTTCTGTGTTTCAAGTGTTGCTTTTTTTGACAGATGCTCTGAAGCAAGAGACAAGAGCAGTGGCCACGTCATTTTACTCTTCACAAATATCTATGTGACCTGCAGAATTACGATTTTCTAGTGGGGTTCTCTCCTCCTGCAGCTGCTTCTTTGGGTAGAAATAGACCAATTGCCTGAAATGCAAACGTATTCAGTGTGAAAAGTTTAAAATTAGAATTGCTCATGTAGAAAATACATTACAAATGCAGTCTAATTGCTATCCAACTTCCTTTCTAGTTTTAAAATGCCAGAGTATCATCCAATTTAGCAAATGTCAAGATCTTACTGAAAGATTGTCAAGATTCTAAAGCAAATAGTTTAAAGGTTGGAGCAGATGAGGAAGGTCTTAGCTCTTCTCTGGCCTGGTTTTTTTATGCCCCAGGTCAGGTATTTATAAACTTTTCCTGATGACCCAGCATTTCTCAGGGACACTGGAAGAATGGCTGGAGGGAAAAACCAAGCCTTCAGTGCAAATGCAGATTGCCCAAGGATGTCATCCACTCTAAGTGGTATGGGGAGAATTGATCCCTTGGGCTGTACTTCCATTCCCGCTTGAGGGTCATGTGCAATGGGAATGTGATACCCATTAATGAAAAGAGATCAAGGAAGTATCTTGTTGAATTGGAAGTTACATTACTGATTCTAGCAGTTCTCTCTGTAAGTAGAGAGACATTCTCACCTATATTTTAACCCATGTGTCTGTAGAAGCATATATACACAATCCTTCTGATAAAGATGATGCAGTCAAACTACCAGAGACTTCATAATAGCACCCAAGATTCATTTTGGAGTATATTCAGTCATAGAACACCTCTGAATAGTCCCTGTGATGGCTTTCTCTTCTACTATCTCTTTGCAATAATAGACAGAAGAATCATAAGTGAATTATGACCCCCTTGCTTGTGGAAATTGTATAGAATTGATAAGGAAAATGTGTTCATTCACTAAGTCATGTCTGACTCTTCACAACCCTTTGAACCATAGCATGCCAGCACCCTCCCCCACCCCACTGTCTCCCAGAGTTTGCTCAAATTCATGTTCATTGCATCTCATCCTCTGCTGTCCCCTTTTGCTGATGAGAAAAAGATAAACTGGTAAATGCTTCAGCAGGCAATCAACAGTTAGAAAAAAAACCTACGCATTATCCTGGTCAGTCACTAGTACCAGAATTGCCACCATAAGCCTTGTTCTATTCCTAGATACTTCCCAAAATTCAAGGAGCATGAGCACTCACAAAATGGTGGCAAGTATAAATGGAGCTGTGGCCCAGGACAATTACTAGTGGCTTTTAAACACATGGTGAATGTCTTCTTGCCTTATTTGTGCTTATCCCTTGCCTCAAAATGGAATACAGTTCCAGTCTTACTTTGCAAAGAACATCCAGAGGGGACAGAAGCAAACTAAGAGGATTCTTAGTGCATTCAGAGAGTACTTTATTAGCTGCCAAGAGTGAACTGCTGGAACTGCTTCACATGGACCAGGAGCTACAGTTAGTGATCTCTTTGATAGCTATCGGAAAGATTATCTTTGAACAAAGGCCAGAGTTGTAACCACTGAGCATAGTCCTCATGCAACTTTAGGAAAGACAAAGTTGAGCCAAAAGAATATTCCATAAATACTTTTCAGCCCAAGCACTAAGTTGCTGCAATTGAATCATAAGTAAGTCCGATGTCCCAGTGAAGATACTGAACTAGGTTTGAGGAGATCCATGGTCTCCTCATAGTAATGGAAGGATTACGATATGATTTAGGACTAGACACTCTTTCTCAGCCAACCTACCTGAAAAGATTGTTCTGCAAAAAAAACTAGAGGACAGAATGCACTATATGTTTTGAGTTGCTGGAAGAAAATAGGCTACACATCAAGCAAATAATAAATCTAACAAATAGAAGAGTAAGAGAAGGAAATAAATGATGGAATGTTCTTTTTACAACCCCATCCATCTATCCATCCATCCATCCATCGTGGAGTTGGAAAAGGCCATTAGAGCATTGAGAAACCCTTGCTCAGTGCAGGAATCTAAATTAAAGCACTCTTAACAGATGTGTGCCTGGTTTCCACTTGAACAGACTCATCATCTTCCTGGATAATTGGGTCCATTGTTCTTATCATTAGGATTTTTTCCCCTAAATGTTTGCAAATCTCTCCCTCTCTCTCTCTCTCTCTCTCTCTCTCTCTCTCTCTCTCTCTCTCTCCCTCCCTCCCTCCCTCCCTCCCTCCCTCCCTCCCTCTTTCTTTCTCTCCATCTCAGCTGTCAACTGGTGAAACATAAGGTCTTTTAGAATTAGCACAAGGTCTAGCTGTCCTATCACTGCAGTGGTCAAATAGAAGTCACCAAGAAAGCTCACAAGATGATTCAGTGCACAAAACCATGCCTCTGCTTGTTTGCTCTAGGATCCAGCAATCTAAAATATACAATCTCTAATTATAAGATTTGGCATAGCAATTAGACTATTTGAATGAATTTGCACAACATGTTTAATTGGTTGTTGGTCTGATCTATTGTATGAGTTGGCACAATACTTTCCCCAGGCTCATATGCTAACCAAATGGGCTGAGTATGCACAACATGCAAAACCATGCCAAAAACTAATCTTCTTTAAAGATAATTTGATGTAGTATGTTGGGCAAATGCAGTTGTTATTTATTTATTTATTTATTTACAATCATACAAGCATGTATGAGAAAACAAGTATAACTAAGAACATAACATGTAAACATATAAGTATGAACAGGTATAAGTATATACATAATAAATGAGTAAGAATAAATGGGAACAGTAGGACAGGGACGGTAGGCACGCTGGTGCGCTTATGCACGCCCCCTTACAGACCTCTTAGGAATGGAGTGAGGTCCACGGTAGACAGTTTAAGGTTAAAGTTTTGGGGGTTTGAGGATGTAACAATAGAGTCGGGTAGTGAGTTCCAG